GGGGGGGGGGGGGGGGGGGGGGGGGGGGGGGGGGGGGGGGGGGGGGTGGGAGGGGGGCGGTGGGTGGGTGGGGATGCTCCTTTGAGCGTGACAATAGAAAGCTTCTCAAAACACTAGATTTCAAAGCTTCCTAGAGTTCAGCCATTGGCAAATTTCTGGGTCGGAACCCCAAGCACACTCTGGGCTATTCACTAAGGATGCTCACTCAGACGAGTGCAAACATCCAGGCGAGGGCTAGATGGCAGCAGGGAGTAGTGTTTCTGTATTTCCTTGCTTCACTCACTGCAACCCCCTCAGCCACTGCCTCATTCCAGCCTGCTTCTGTTGACTATGTGGCCGCTGGCTGGAATAAGTCAATCCATCCTGATACAAGAAACAGGGAAGAGTTGTTAGTCATCCTATAAAAACACCGTGGGGGAGTTTTTTTGGGGGGGCAGGGAGAAATGCTTCCTGGGAAGTAAGGGAAAAGAGTACAGGGCGCAGTTTAAACCTCTCCCCCTTGGAAAGCTTAGCTCAGGATATACTGGGACACAGAAGGAAGCCCAATAGTTTCAGCAGGATCAGCTTCCTTCCCCAGAGAATTATCCGTGCCCCCTTCTTCTGCTTCCAGCCTCCACGAGAACGGCTTCATGGAAGAGCTTGACAAGACTTGGGTGAGATATCAGGAGTGTGATTCCCGCAGCAATGCTCCGGCAACACTCACCTTCGAAAACATGGCAGGTAAGGCGGCTACCTCCTACCTGCTTCGCCATCTCCTAATTTTTCTTTGGCCTTTCCCCAAACTTTTCAAAAAAAAAGTTCTCCTTCATTTCTTCCAATTCAAAGCATGTTTGACTTTAGTGACACGTAAGCAGAAGATCCTAATGAAGGTTGTAGTGAATTAACCTTTTTCTAGATCAGCCTGAAAAAACTAACCAAATTGGATTGGATTGGCGCAATTGAAGCCCTATCAATTCAAAAGCAGCCTTAACAAATGAGGGAGCGTAAACACAAAGGTTTTCGACGGGCAGAGTTATATGTACGGGGTGGTCGTGGAGGTGAGGCAGACCCCCAGGGGGGGGGAAACAAAGACCCCTTGGTGGAACTAGGCCGAGTTTGGTCCCTGGGGAAACGGAAGCGAGCCCACACTTCCCTCAAGTCGCCCTTTAGAGCCAAGAGCCAGATTCGGACGTCAGGCTGTGCCGTCTGCCACGTGGAAAAGCGATACGGAGGGCTCAGTGTGGCTGAGGGCCACAATGGGAGCAAGCTCAGCTACCAAGATTGCCTGGCTGAGACCATCTGCAGCTCTCGGCTGAAGCCAAGAGGCGGCTAGAATATCCCCAGCTGAGCCATGGAGCTATGGGATAAAATGTGGCTCGGCTCGAATGCCGCTCATCAGGGAGCAAACGGTTGCTTGAGTTTACAGTAGCTTGATTGTCAATTTAAGCCTTACACTAATCAGCATATATCGAAATGAAATTTCGTTGCATGCAGCTCACCACCTCCGGCATACGCTGCGGAAACACGGCAGAAATAAATAAATGAGCCAGCCTTTGCCCACATCTATTATAGGGCACAGTTTGCCTCTATGCCAGTGAGGAGCTGGGCATGCCCAAAGGCCTCAGCCAGGAAAGAAAACTTTGAATTTGAATTTAATAAAATTTATATGCCACCCAATCCCGTAGGACTCCGTGCGGCTTACAAATACAAGAATAAAATAAAAACTAAAATATAGGAAAAAGAAAAGATAGATTTAAAAGCAACACCCCATACACTCAGTCCTAGATGGGGCTGGACCTCATTGTGGGGGCAACAGCCCCAGGCCTGCTGGAACAGCCAGGTTTTAGTGGCTCTTCGGAAGGCCAAGAGAGTGGGAAGGGTTCGGATCTCCGCAGGCAGATTGTTCCACAGGACCGGAGCAGCTGCAGAGAAAGCCCTCCTCCGAGTGGTCATCAGCCAGCATTACCCAGTCAACGGCACCCGGAGGAGGCCCAGCCTGTGAGAT